TATTTTTAGTAGAGACAGGGTTTCACCATGTTGGCCAGGCTGGTCTCGAACTCCTGATCTCAGGTGATCCACCTGCCTCGGCCTCCCAAAGTGCTGGGGTTACAGGTGTGAGCCACCACACCCAGCCTCCTTTTCTTTTTTTTTTTTTAAACCCCTTCTGTTTTCAGCCACTACTTCAGGTCTCCTCGGTCCGTACCTAGTTTCCTGATGGACACTGGGTTGGGTAGATACTGGTGTCCCAGAGATTAGAAATCAATTCTTCAGACATCCTTTTTTCCTGGTCTGTAGAAAGAGCAGTGACGGACCCATACAGCGCTTTGACAAGTGCCTGGAGGAGTTCTACGCACTCTGTGACCAGCTGGAGCTCTGCCTGGTAAGAGGCCTCCTAGACACTGGGTAACCACAGCTCTATTCCATTCTCTGGGGTCTTCAGAAACCCTCATTCAGTCAGCCAGCTCACACTCAACTGGGAACCTCTTGTGGGCCAGACCTGTGCTTCCACCAACGCTGGGGACACAGGGTTGTTCTGATCTGTGCCTTCACAAAGCTTTTAATTGCATGGAATAACAAACATACCCCTAAACAGGGACAGCTCAAAGTGGTCAGTGCTGAGATGGGAGAAGCCTAGGCCAGAGTGCTTAGGGTTATGATTGGGGAGGCACAGGCACAGGGATCAGGGCTGGGATGGGGGAATCTCAGCTGTGGAAGCCCAGGGTGGGTATAGGGAGAGAGTGGCTTAGGGAAGGCTACTGCTAGAGTACATGTGAGCAAGTCTGGGACAAAGAAGGGAGGAGGGGCAGGAGTTGAGAGGAGGGCAAGTGACTAAGAATACAGACACTGCTGTCAGATGTACCATCAGTCTCTACCTCTGAGCCCTGGGTTCCTCATTAGGAAAATGGAGTTTCCAGGAAAACTCACATTATGCATGTAAACTACTTAACATAATACTAGGCACATGTCACCCAGGCTAGAGTGCAGTGGCGCAGTCTCGGCTCACTGCAACCTCCTCCTCCTGGTTTCAAGCAATTCTCATGCCTCAGCCTACCAAGTAGCTGGGACTACAGGTGCATACCACCATGCCTGGCCAGCTGTTGTATTTTTAGTAGAGATAGGATTTCACCATTTTGGCCAGGCTGGTCTCGAACTTCTGGCCCTAAGTGATCCGCCCGCCTCAGTTTCCTAAAGTGCTGGGATTATAGGCATGAGCCACTGCGTCTGGCATTTTTTTTCTAATTAATTAATTTTTTTTTTTTTTT